AAAATGGAGCGGAGACGTGCGTGCGTAGGTAAGGGGAGGGAAAAAAGAACGGATCTTGGACGGGGGCACGGCGGAAGAAAGCGTTCGAAATTAGCCGTGAAAGCGGCGCCTCATGTTCCCTCGCTTTTACCCTTAGGGCAGGCATTAAGCAGCTGGCAACTGCTAGACGACAGGTATGCCGTGACACATGCCGCTCACGAAATTCCGGCGGACCAAGAAACGGCAGATTGAATGCTCGCGAAGACGATTAAGGCCATGCAGGCGGGCGAATGTCGAAATTCAACGGTCGTTGTCAGCGGCCGGCTTCTCGATGTCTGGGGCACTGGGAACGATGCACCACAGATATTTGGATTCCTCGAATATGACGATTTTACTGTTCATTAAGGCTAGTAAAACTATCTATTTTTTAGTAGAGATGTATGTATCTGTATCGTCTGTGAGAAGATTTATTCATCTGATAGATCATGATGTTAACGTTCTCTAAAGCGATCGAAATAAATAGAAGTTGAATAAGAATTTATTTGTACTCTTAAGAATTTCACTAGAATCAATGCACGAAATACAAATTTCCATGGATTAGAAACGCATCACGAATCGTTTCAAATTCTAGCACTCCGATTATATTGTGTTCTCCGCGCTCGCGAGAATGAGTAACTTCAAACGCGACTGGCTCGCGAACCGCACGCTACATTGCCGTGCGCAGCATCACAACATTAGGCCTCATCACACAAAGTATCTTTAAATAGCGGCGATGCCGCTTGGCACGCATAAATTCGTCAAAAACCAAGAACTGTTCGCGTAGAAGTGTGCGGGCTATATCCGTCAAGGGACATCGTCCACGCGTTAAGCGGCGGTAGTTGCGCGACCGCGGTCCGACGACAGCCAGCGAGACGCCGTCATGCGAACTTAATAGCAGTAATTCTGTCCAATCGCGATATGACTTAGCTGTTCTTCGAGCACGCGGATCAGCTGCGATGAGTGGACCGTGGAGGGGGTCAGATCAACGGATAGTGCGTTGATTACTGCTCGCGCAATTATCCGAGCAAAAGATAACAATGACGAGGGGTTTCGAACGAGACTCGAGCCTAGGGTGGAGAAGGTGGTAGAAAGGTGTTAGGGCCAGGGGCAAAGCGGAGAGAAGAGTGAAAGCAAGGTTCCGAGAGACACCGGGTTGATACCGATCGGTTGTTTAATGCAATTATCGCGCGACAGTTTAAGGACGCCGCGTTTCCGTTCGCACGAACACGGAACGCTAATTTCCGTGGCGCGTCCAGGCCGCGGCGGCATGTACCTCGGAACTCGGCCAATTGAGACGTAGCCCTGCAATTAACATTCTGATTACCTGGCTACTTAAAATTATGTAAATAGTTCGCTTCGCACAGTCACGCCGTATTATAACAAACTTGCCCGGACGTCACGTTGCGTTGCAACCAGCTACCGATTATATCGGCGCGTTGCTCCGCTGGCCCTGTAATAATGACAAGGACCGGGCCCGCGCGAGGGATCGTTTAATGACACATCAACGGTGGACGCGTACAAGTGCCGATACGTTCGCCGAATCGATTACGGCAAACCGACGTAACCAGCTGACAATCGCGCCCGCCAATTACCCGGGGACGAAGAAGAAAACGCGACGAAAACTTGGAGGAGCCCCGCGTGTCCCACGTTTTCCTTCTTCATCTCGCTTTTCCTAGCTCGATCCGTCTCGTTCTCATCGATTGCGCCCGAAGACTCGCCCCGAGAACGCCGCGGATCCCCGTGATTCGATTACCGGCCTGTCTTGTTTCGCGCTCCGTCGTTCCGGCGAAGCTTTTTGTTGCTTCGTTTGTCGCGATAACGAGTTGAAAGTTAATTACCGCGGCAATCACGGACCCGGAGTTCCGTTTCCAGCCGGAAGATGGAACTTCGGGATTTAGTTTTGTTTACCGGACCCTTTATCCGGGATCGAACTTGCTCCCGCTTCGCAGATATTAAAGTCTCCGCTCACCTCGACGCGATATTATTTTTCTCTGTGATTTGAATTGATGCGAGTTAATTGAATGTTGTGAACGGATGCCGGTCGCGCGTTAATGATACGTGGAAAATCTTGTATTGGCAAAAGATAATATTAGATATTTGGACCTCAATAATATTCTTATGATTCGAATGGAACAGATTTTTACGATCTTGATTCTGATTCAACGAATCAACGAAACGAATAGAACTCACGTCCATCAGACTTAGTTCGGAATCTCCATAGCATACCAAACTTAATATCGCCTACAAGACAAGAAAATAATATATACCGTAACCTTAGTACATTATTCAAATGACGAGAACTCGCTACCTCGGATCCCCCTCCGCGCCGACTTGAAACACTGGAAATAAATTGAACGCGACACACGAGAAAGGCGTACAAAAGTGTCTCGGACTTCTCGCAAAGTAAGCCTCGAGTTTGTCCCAATTCGGCGTCGCGGAAACTCCAATAACTAGGCGTCTGCCGGGTAATCTTCCGATTTGAAAGCAATTCCGAGGCGCGGGCGACGCGCCGACGGAGGGAGAAAGGAAAAACAACCGTTTCGCTTTTCGTGCGGGCTTTTATGCTGATTTGAGGGGTATCAATTTAGAGATGAGCGGTTGACGAGAAGTTTGAACGGCTAGCGGAAATAATTCCGGTAGAGGGCGAAGGAAAAAAAGCAGCGGGAAGTAGAGAGAGAGAGGGGGTGAGTTGAACGAGCGAAGCGAAAATGGCGGTGGTCGGTAGGTGAAAATATCTATAGAGAGACCGGGGCCGGCCCGGCACCGGTACCGCTACTTAACTAGATGAATTCAATATCTCGGAATAAATACATTGATAAATCAGCCACTCCGCTAAAAGCTTACTTTACTTTGGCTAGCTGTTGCGGCCGCGCGCAAACAACGCGCGCTTGTGTGCGTTCATTCAGTGGAGAGCCACGGGCGCAAACGCGTGCCGGAGCGCATACGTGAGCACAGTGCTACATACACACCGATAGAGCGAAAGGCCGGCGGAACGGGCGAGACGAGCGGCGCGGGGCGTTTCTGAAATAGGCGGCCGAAGTTTCGGCAAAGGGACAGATCCACGGGCGCAAAAATTGTTATTTATTATCAGCGTCGAATGTTCGTTCGAACTCAGATTTTTATAGTCTCGCGCCCGCGAAGACCCGATGCGAATCGAGATTGATTTCACGCGGCGATGGATTCGCCGGATTAAAAGAGGAAATTTCTTTGAATTTTATCGTGCCTCCGTTTTATCACATTTTTATTTACTTGTCCGGGAGAGACACGGCGGAACGGAGGTTTGTTTCTTTTTGTTATTTCATGCCGGCGATAAAAACATCGGCGCGCTCGTTACACGAAATTCGGGTTTCCGTTTTATTCCCGTTACTGCGAGTTCGTTGTAAATATGGAAAATTTGCGGGACAGCGATGAGTGTATGATATCGTTGCGTGAGATTCTTATTTGTTCGGAGAAATTGGATTTTTTCGAACTTACTATATATTATACTAGTTTTTGTCTATGTTAACGTTTTTGATATTTTTCAATTGAAATATTCTTTGGCGACATCGGTATAACGTCAATGAAATTATACTAACAGCCACCTCTTCGTATCAATTTTAATTCACCAGGTTTCGTATAGCTAAATCAAATTGCACAGAACAACCCCAACTTCTAAGTAACAAAATTACATCCGCAACTTACAGACATCCTCGCAACAAACTGCGGTTTTACGCTGAACGTAACCACAATGTAGTCCGCACTCCCATCAAGCAAGCCTACATCACAATCAGTATGAGGCCATGCCTACAGGCCATTTAAAATTACCCGCGCGATACAATCTCCAGTACCGAACAACCCAATCCTAAGTGACCATAAATCCCCAACGAACTTAGCTATAACTTCCACTCCTCGAATTATCCAATAAAGCGGTAAGTCCTCGCTTAACGAACCAATACCTCTTGAACACCCTTGTACTCGGGGTCCTAGACGACAGCGACGCACGAAGGAAATCAGTGCACGCGCGTTGTCTCTATCCAGCGCGGAGATGGAAACGCGTAAGGAAAGTTTGCGAGTACGAGCAATCCCATAGGCGGAGATGGACCTCTCGATCCTCGAAGAGGAGGCAGGAGAATGGACACGCGAGTGGAAGAAGGATAGCGGAGAGGGTGTACTTATAGAAGAGTGGTTTGCCCCGTCTATAAAGAATCTTGTTTGTTTCTGGCCCACGGATATCGAAGAAAAAGTATTTGCCTTGGGGATTTAGAGTGTTTCGCGAACCCTCCACCACCAGCAGCGGTATCACCGACGCCGGATCAGTCACTACCACCACCGGAACCGGAGAAAGGGCGAAGGGGTTGGCGAAAAGGGGAGTGAAAGGACCGACCGACCGACCGCCGTGTTCCTAGCGGAACGCCATCTCACGAAGAGTAATACACGGGGCAAATAAAACTTCATTCTTGCCGATTGTCCGTCGACCTATCCGACTAGCTACGAACCAATCCGGCAGATGGACAGGGAACGAGGGATCGATCGATCCCCAGCTTGCCGCCAGCCACATTTAAATCACTGGCGGGGTCGACCGACGCGCCGGTTTGCTTTCGTCGTTCCCTTTCAAAATCTCCGAGATTTTTTATTGGGCCCACGTGCCCCGCCACGTTTTATGGAAGCGGAACGATGGACACCGAGTTGTCCGCGCTAGACGGTGAGACGTTTTATATACTGTATCTTCGCCGCCCGGTTTTAATGCGTTTTGAATATTGTTTTCCAGCTTTATTGCTTGGACGCTTTCCGATTGGTTCTGTTTTTCGAAGTAAACTTGAGTAGAGAGATTTGGCTATTGGAGAGAGGTTAAGTGAGTCTGTAATTTTAGTAATTTCTCGTTTTATAGTTTAGTTGGAGATTCTTCTTTTGTTAATGCGGATTCGAGGTGGATGTAGATTGAGAAATTTGATAGGGTGTGAAAGTGGTTAAAGTAAATGAGTAGAAAGTAGAAGTCTACTTACTTTATTAATCGTAATACGAGGGATATGGGCTGTCCTTGGTGGAAAGGAAGATCTCAAATCTGCAACAAAAGATACAATATTTAATGTTAAAATTATTTTGGTTCTTTTAATCAACCCCATAAAACTGTACAAATGATTTCAGACTATCGTCTCTCATTAACTTTGATTGTCTTAAGTGAGAAAGTCCAAATATTCATCTGGACCTTGACAGTCATTGAAGGTCTATAATGTCTCCGGAAATTTGACCGATAGTCATTGGTGTCTATTCAAGCCCCTCAGTGTCTATTAAAGGTCAAGAAATGGACCTTAGTTGCTATTCAAGGTTCTTCGTATTGCTTGAAGGTCATTCGGTGAACCTTGATGAATATTGAAGATCCTTGCAGTATACTGAAGGACTTAGCCGTCCCTTCTAGGATATTTAATAGACCTAGAAGATTCCTGCAAGTCCTTAACAGATGCGATTTGAATCTGAATCCTTCCTATTCATTAACCTCTTGAAGATATCTCCCATATGTTGCAATAAATAGAACGCAGAAAATTATAAAGCCAAACATTCAACAAATTCAATTACATTGAAAATTTCTTTAAGTTTCACATTGTCCTGAGAGTATTGAAACTGTTTACAACGAAAGTAAGTTTGTACAAGATAGTTATCAACACATCATTAGTCTACCGACGAATATCCTGCGTAACATAAAACATCAAACAGAATAACTTAAGTATTATTCGCAGACTTCATCAATCGAAATCTACATTTCTCACTTCCTTTTGTCAAAAGTATCTTGATTCATTCTATCATCTTAATCGACAAGATTAAATTTCGTCACTACAAGAAAACAACCAAATACTATCAAATTCCTCATACAAGATACCAAGGAACAAACGAAAACAGAAAAACGCGTGGTGTGTCTTTTTCTTCGTCTCGTTCCGACGTTCGTTACCCCGGATTGAAGTTAAAATTAATTTCCAGGATCGGTCCAGTTTCGGGCCGGCGTAACCCAACAGTGGCCGGCCGAACAATTTCTAATAAGTAGCTAACTAACTTTGACGAGTCTGTCGATTGATTACGATCGGGCTTTGTGATATAATAATTATAAACTTCCACCGGGGAAAAGGTATCGGGCGAGCGGGGGCCAATGGGGCAGGGTATCGGCGGGCTATATATAATCGAAACGTCGAGCGTGTTCTCGTCGGCAGAATTTTCCATTAACAATCGCCCGGGATAAAAATACGGTTCGCATTTTCCATTACCGGCCCCCGGATCATTAAAAGTCCCCGCCCACCGAGCCGGCCGATATTAATTTCTTCGATCGCGGAACGGAGGATCGCCGGCAATTAATCGCGCGACGATTCTGTTCGGCGTATTTAGGCGCATAATAAAATCGACGGTAAATAAATAAATTCCCGGAGGAAATGAAACGTCGACCGTTTTGCGCCGCGCGGCGAAAAGAGCCACGGATGCCACGAATCTTTCCGCGTAAGCGGCTCGAACCGCTTTTCCCACCATAATTCGAGTAAGTGGCGTGAACGTGGCAGGGGTTGCCGCCGCTCCAGGGGGTTAAAGGCTGATTAAAGAAAAATCCGCAACTTGTTGATCGTCTTAAATATTCATTCACCGATGTAGCATCTACTTAATAACCGGTGTTGCCGGCGTCCCTCCGAGCAACCGCCCGCCAACCGCCTCTTTTTCTCACCCTTTTCCCGCGTTCCCCTCGAGTCCTCTTTCTCCCTCCTCCCCGCGCCCTCCGGCCGTCTCGTTCCGTCTCGCGCCACCGCCACAATCTTCCAGAGATCCATCGTCTCAGAACTCCACTACGAAGAGCGCGACGACGGGCAAATGAAATCCGCTAAAACGTTTTCTTAGCGGTATCGCCCGGGCTAAAAGCTAAAAGCGCTTTTAAATTCCGCCAACTCTACCGCCCCACCACCTCCGACGCCACTCGCGTTTACCCCCTCCGCCTCGCTCACCCTCTGTAACCTCCGCAACCGCTAGGCCATCTGTCGCCCACCATCGGTCGAATACCTAGCGGTGTAGGCAAGTGATTGATTAAGAAATTTGGATTTCGTTTGAATGTTTTGGATGCTGTGAGTTTCTTCGGTTATGATATATTGGAAGTCGGAAGGGGTGTCTGATCGTCTTCCATTTTCAGCAGTTTCGCGATTGCGAGCCACGCGAAAAGCGTTTTGTGACGTGGTTGTTTGAAGTTTTGTTTACGTAGAAATTTTTATCTTCGTAACCTCAATCGTAGTAAAACAGAGAAGAAAACAGACTGACCTTCTGTTGATTACATATCTTACATTTTGGACGATTCGTTAATTTTTTACTAGAACCTTTTCCAAATATTCGAGCTCGCCACTGGAATGAGCGAAAGTTTCATCTAATGAGTGATTAACACTTTCTTATCTTCACATTACTCAACAGTCCAAGATTAGAAGACTCAGAAACCAATCATAACTTCGCAAAACAGTTTCCAAATACCATGCTAATTTCAATACTACATATTTAATCCTTCGCTCATAAATTATACACAGCAAACTCTACCACTACCAACGACACTATCGCTATAACGGTCCGAGACGAACGTTTCCCAAGACGCGCGGCGAGCTAGTCTCGCTTCTCTTTACACCGCTTCGCTCCCGTCAAAACGGCATTAAGCGGAATTGATTGCTATTAAGATAGCAACAAAGTAGTGGGTTTCGCCGAGAACCGCGTTGTCGTTCCGAGATCGCTTGATAAATAGGTTGCGGCGGGAAAGAATCCAGGAAGGTCCCGTGTGTCCAAGCTGGGACCCCGTGTCCAGCCATCTGGATCCATCGCGTCGGAATTCATCCGCTCGTAGCCAGGGATCATCCATCTCGTATAATTTACAATCTGGCGAACCCTTTGTACAATAACGAGTGAGATTCTTAGCGAAAATGTTTGCAAAACATTTGTAAGAATTTAAGAATTCTGTTATTTTGTTTTGAACTTATTAAGATCCTTAAGTGAAGAAATTAGTTTCTACCTAATCCTCGTTTTCTCGCACCACAAAGGGAAACTTTTATTTACCACAAAGATCTGTTGTTCAACCATCGCACATGGATCAAAACGAAAGACCACTTCGCTGTGATCACCAAATTCTTTAACCAATGGTTTACCCTCAAAGCAAACGTACGCTTAAAATACACAGCAAATTCATCCGCGTGTTCACAAATAAATATTAACAGCAAAATAAACCAGACGATTACGGTCGCGAAGTGAATCGCGCGCCAAGGGCTGAATCTTCATTCCGTGTTAGGGGCGAACACAGAAGGACGCTAAAGGGTAAATAAGAAGAGGGTAGCGAGTAGCAAAGCAATGAAAGAACAGGGAGTTAGAAACAGAAGAAACCGGGTAGCACAGAGTAGTCATCGGATGAAAGACACGGAACGAATCTGAAAGGGGAATAGAATCCTAACGCGGTAGGACGGAAAGTTAAAGAGAAAGAACGAAGAAAATGAGAAGAGTGAAATGAAGGGAAGGCTAAAAGGAAGGAAGAAAGGGGAAAACAGAAAACGAACACGGTCTAGAGAGGGCGGTAAAAGAGGGGCGTGGAGGGTGGTTGGAAGAGGGAGAGCGAGGCGGAAGATGAGGAAGAAGTTAAGTGGGTGCACCTACGCTCGGTAAAACAGACCGGTCTCCGAATTGAAGCTGGCAGCGGTCCAGCCTAATGGAGACTCTTAGCGTAATTAAACGTAAACACATTCGAGGCGTCACACTAATCTGAATGCTTATCAAGGTCCGCCGGTGTTGCCTCAGGGCCGTGTCTACCTGGCGTGTTCATTCTTGGATGTAAGAGGGGGAGTTTGGGGGAGGGTTGGAGGGTGAGACACGTAGGTAGGGTCGAGAGGAAGCGGAGGGAGTCCAGCCGAGAGGCCTAACTGTCTCTCCATTCCGGCATTTGCGCGAAAATGGCCCTGTCTCGTGCCGCTCGCGCGCGCGCTATCGGCGTTGTTATTAAGCGAAGGATGTTTCTATTATCCTTTGGTGTATTTGCTCCGGCTCCTAGATAACGCGCCACGTAAGAAGCTTATTTCGCCTGGCCCCGTGGAATTAATGGCCGGGATATTTTAATCCGCCGCTCGCCTCGAGACGAGCCGGAGTCGCGGCGCGTCACCGAGGATATCGCGGCCTGGGGATTGGTTGCTTAGGATTCTCCCAATGAATTCACTGATAATTCAACACCCTCTTCCCCCGTACACCCCCTTTGTCGGAGCCTTAAGGTACGCCGATAAAGGGAGTTGATCCATGAATTAAGATAAGGGTGACGTCCGTGAAACGAGGAACGTTCGTCTTGTTGTCGTTGGTATCGAGCCTGTTGTCGAATAAAACGGAATTGGATGGATTGTAATGATACGTGAAACTATTCGGATGCCGAGAGCCGGTGGCATTTATTTATCGATTCGATTATAACGCGCCGGCCAACGGTCGAGCGATAGATACCTCGCGACGCGGCACTCGATTAATTGTAATACCGCCGCTCGATGAGAAACGGACATATTTCGGTGATTTAATCGGGCAGTCGATTTTTATTCGGTAACCGGACGAGCGGATAGGACGCGATCGCGCGTGATAGTTTTCAATATTTGGTGAATGGGGAAATATTTTGCGAGGTATAACGGCGTATCCCGCGTTTAATAATAAGCATTTTTCCACGAAATCGTGGACGTTTCAGCTTTGCCGTTCCGCCCGCGCGATATTTCCATGGGAATCTGTTCTATGCGACCGTTTTCTACTCGCGGGGAATCATTCTATTTTCTCATTTGAATAATTCCTTCCGATAACAATGCGAGTAAGTTTGAAAGAGCATCCACTATAACACTTCGCGAAACTAACGAGACACACTCAAAACAATCCGACGAATCCTTGTTCGAATAAATTCGTATTCAAATAACTCCTTACCATTACGTATTCGAGCGAAGTTCCATTCGTTATTCTTATCTTCCCTCCATTATGCGAATAAAATTATGCGAAACACTGGTTTGGAGAGCCATTAACTTACTTCCCCACGAACTACTGCAAGAAGAAACTAAACGGGGTACACAAAATTCCAACCCGACCTATCAGGACGCGAATCAAAACAGACTTGTGTCGGTTACTTACAACTGTATCAACAGGATCGGAAACAGCGCACTCTTCCGGCTACGAGTTCTCGGTTACGAGAAAACGCGCCGGTGAAGTATTAATTACTATCGTTAAATTCAATCTACCGTATCGCGGCCAGGAGGCATTCTTATCCGGCCGGTTATGTTCTCGAAACACGCCCCCGAAGATCGCATCGATCGTCGCTGCGACGGTCTAGATACGAGGTTTCACGAAATTGGCAACACCTGCGTACGCGTCCCGCATAATTCAGCGGCCCGTCGAAAATAAAACGCCACTTAACCCCGTCGCCGGGGACCGGCAATTAATTTGCCCAAAAGCCCCGTGCCCCGGTGTTAAAGAGGCAAATAGGCACGAGGCCCGGGCCGATCAGCTCCGCGAGCCGCGAGAGGATCGAATTTACGAACGAAGCGAGAGAGCGTGCACGCGCGCGAACCGGCCTCTGCTAATGAAAACATCTTAGCGGCAAACGACAGCTCTTAAATCGCCTTAAAGCCATCCCCGTCCCCTACCTCTCACTCGCACTCTCTAATCTTAAACCTATGTTAACCACTTAACCGCGACGCTCTAACCGATTGACAAACTCTCCTCACTCTCGGCAACCGTTTCCCGTCGCTTCGTCGCGCGCCTCTTTTTCCGATGGAACGGCGTTTTATTCTTGTACGCGAGGATACCGTGGATATCGATCGCTGAAAATAGAATTTAGGAATCCGGCACGGCACCTGTCGGATAATCGATTTTTTCGATCGTACTCTTTGTTTGGTCTATCGCGAACTCCTGTGTATCGTTTTGCTTCTCTTCTTGAGTTTGATTTAAGGGAATCGATATATTAGAGTTCTGAGCCACGATTAATTAGAATATATGTTGCGCGTACTGTTAATGGAACTGATATTTTTACAGCGTTGGAATATCTTGTAGAGATAACAATAATTAATGAGAATTACTGGTTCGTGAAATTAAGTTTAAATTTTGAAACGTGTACTAGAAATATACTAATATATGAATATATGAATATACGAATATACGAATATATCATTATACCAATATACCAATATACTAATATACCAATATAGTAAGTATGAATATGTGAATATACAAATATATGAATATTCTAGTATTTCATTAATTAATAGCTTAGAATGAGTACAACTTTTATTTTCGTTGAAGTACTCAGTTAATTTGGGACAACTGGTAGCTTTAGTCGTTGATAAATTTAATAATTTTACAATTATTTTAATGTTCGTTTACTTAAAGACTTTATTAAGAAAAGACGGGGCAGCCGCATTCCGTGGCAATTACACAACACAAACTTAATAAGGAGCGGATTATTAGATATCATAGTAACGTGTATAAGCTCTATCTGCGTGAAGTGTAATCAGCATTCCAGCGTGCCGGCACAATGAGAATGCTTTTTGGCAAGATTCCCTGGCGGCAAATGAGTTAAATGAGCTTATACTTTATACTGCAAATGGTCTCGTTAATTTCGGTTCAGTCGTGCAAAAAACAGCGCAGAGCAGCCGTCTGATGATGCTGATCGTTTCGTCGCACGGGGCAGATGTATAATGATAATCTGTGTTTTCATTGAAACGTTTATCGCAGCCTGCTAAAGAACCAATGGAAATCTATAACACGTACAATTTCCTTTAATCAAATGATACATAACGAAGCTTCCTATAAAAATACAGATCACTGACGTAACATATACACACAAAATTTAATTAGACATATTTTCCCTTATGTATTTCCATTATATATTACTTCTTTTAAACATTTCACTAAATTGATAATAAAAAGAATGTTTCCATTATATTATATCAAATAAATTCTATATTCTAAATTCGATAAACCATTTCAAAATATCCTATCCTTTTAAAACGTACAGGATATCGAAATATTTGTTAAAACACTTTTCTTGTGATTGTAAGAATAGAATAGACCGTCGGGATAGCACAACGCCAGCAAGATTGTTTTATGCATGTCGGGAAGTCGGGACTTTGAGAGTCACTGGAGAAGAGAAATTCAAAATAGCGATTTTCCCTGAAACACACACTCCCGATGGAACTTCCAGGGGCGAGGGGAATCAGAACACGTTGGACATCTTAACGTGGCCGAACACGAACACGTAGAACCGTGTCGTACCCTAGTCAGACAGTAGATTCCGACTTGCGACATTACCATAATCCGGCTTAATCTACTTACTTCCATAAAGCAGACATTGCGAGGCCGTCCACTTGCAGCGCGCTCGCCCCGGTGCCGGTAAAAACCTGAAAAAGGAACGAAGCGATCCCATCCGATGCTGGTAAATGTACATTTAATGTTTCGAATGATTATCCTTCATAAATATGCTTCGACCGTATCCGTACACGCCGAATGAAAAATGACGTTGCCCGGCTGTCGCTTTAAATGCACATTTAATCTTCGCTTCAATATTCTTATGTAATTACTCTTGAAAACTTGCATGAGCGTGGACGATGATTTAATGTATCAGAGTCGGTACTACAATCAATGATTGATCGTGCGCACCGACGAACAGAAAGTATGGAAATAGACGCAAAATGGTCGCGGGTTCTCATTTCTGAGTGGATTCCTACGCTAAGAGGATCTATGAGATATTTAGGGTGCAAAAGATCCATCAAGATTTTTTGCAGTCAAGTCTGCTAACCCTTGTTATTCCTGACCTACTTGAGCTATTTTTACTTTCTTTAGCTACCATTGGGTAGTTGGAAATTATTTTTCGATTCAGTCGATGAATGATTCATTTTGATGAAGTCCGTTAAAGTGCATTGTTGATTCCTGAAATCTTTTGGGATTCCTCTAAAGTCCATCGCAGACTCACGGAGTCTTTCGGATTTCTTCTTGTGATCTTAGGGATACTTTGCTTTCTTTTAGTAGCCTTAAGAACATTTCAAATTTCTGTAAGATTTCTTATGGTCAGTTGGACGCTGCTAAAGTCTTTGTGAGGATTCTTACAGTCCCTCGAATTTTGCCATGTAATTTTAGGTTCCTTAGATTTCTTGACATCTTAGTGACTTTTTATAATCCTTCGATAACGTTACATATCTTTAACACTAGAACTACCGAACGGGTCAAAATGACCCATTCATGATTTCTTCTTTTCGCGATTAATGAAAACATAGCATATACATGTTTGAGAAGATATTAAAGAAATTAATTTGGAAATACGCAAACTGATTGATGAATCAATTAAAGTCTCAATAGATGCACTCTTAAAGTTTCTACAGAGGAATTTCAAAAAGTCAATTTCAGTGCTCGGTAGTTATAGTGTTAAAGAACCTTGAAACTATTGATGTTGTAAATATTCATCTTAAATAATGTCGTGAATACTATGCATTCTATTGTCATTACGTCAAGTGTTTCAGTATCACAGTCGCCAAACCTCAATCGTTCAGACATCCAAGTGTCTAAAAGTATTTTAAAAGCCAAAGTATCACCGTAGTCTGGGCATCAGATCGATCAATCGCTGGTCGAGCGAACAGAAGAGGTCGCAGACAGTAGGCCTCACACTTTCCATCAGCTTTCATTTGTTTGAACAGCTTGTCCCGTGTCTCGATCTTAAAAGGGACAGGGAAATAGGGGTGCAGGAAGGGTTTGTTTTCTATCGATACCATGGTTGATCGAAGTTTGCCGGAAGTCCCGATTAGGATCGTCCAGCCGACCGCCTTTGTATCGCTCGATCCTACCTTTCGGTTCTTCTATTTGCTCGATTGCCTGTCGCGCGATTACTTCCTCTTATTATTCCCTTGAATTAAAGAGACGACAACGGTCTGAGAATTTTAGAAATAATCCAAAACACTCTTCTACAATCTATTAAAGTTCCTCAAAAATAACGAAAACTGGATAACAACAAAAATGTTCAACTCTTGAGACTTTACAATGAAGTTCGCAGTGAAATGTATTTCGATGACACTGAGTGAATTTGATAGTTTATCATATTTTTATTATTTAACGGTTGGCAAATAAATTTCCAACGCATTAACATTCTCAGGAAATATCTGAGCTAAAAAATGAAGGAAAAAAGGCAGAACCTGATGCGCATTGCGATATCGCAGTATCGTGGCAAGTTGATTGGAAATATTATCTCGCTTTGGTAAATATCGCGCAAACAGGGTTATCGTGGTCGTATCAGCAACCTGGTCGTCACTAATTGAAATGCAACTCTCGGATTGCATCCAGCGAATAACGCGTCCTGATAAATTTCTTCCGATGTGGGGGTAGCGCGAGGACAGGCGTGCGACATTAACTTTTTCAAACATTCAAGGGATCGCGTCCGCTGTAATATAAATAAGGTTTTGGACTCGCGTGCATGCCGCGACGGAACATCGAGCGGTTCCGTGTAAAGAAGTAATGAGGTCATCCACTTGAGGTGTAACACAACGGTCCTGACTCACGGTTGATTTAGAGCCGACGATCGTGGAGCGGAGAGATTACACGAAGTGGGTGGGACAAATGGGCCGGAGGGCCAAGAAGAAACACATCTTGCTAATCCGGTGAGCGAACAGCGACAGAATCTGAGTTTAAGTGGTGATAAACTTTGCTGAGGATTCGCTCAAATATTTCTACAGACTTCTATAGACTACGATAAATTGTAGCTACGTTTAGAAAGACATTGTGCAATACAATTACAGATCTATAAACGAATTTTCTAGCAATCACAATTAAAATACCAAAATTAAATTATATAAACATAGAAATTTCTTTACTTTCAGTTTGCAATATACTATATGCAAACTTTGCAATTTCGTAAATATCTATTCTCTTTATTCTAATTCTATTAACACGTTAATAATTAATAATAATCAATATTATCAATAACATTACAATGCTAATACGTAATTAATCCAAGAACATTTCACAAAAGCCTTTTTTCAAGAACACAGAAGTACTAGTTATATAATCGTCGCGTGAAACAGACAAGACAAATCTCGTCGTAGGGTGACTTGCGCC